ACCTGGTCGTTTGATCCGGCGAACGACTGCCTGACTCAGAAGAACAATGATAGACACGGGAGCCGATAGATGCGTCATCTAGTTACAGTGAGCAATGACTGGTCAGTGATGGCAAATCAAAAGTGCATAGGTAGGTAGCGACATGTTTTGACAGATAATTTTGTTATTAAGGTTGTTTTGTGACTGATTGATGACACAATCCTCGTACTAATATGTACCCGCTGTAAAATGTCATTTTTACACCTTTGGAGGTAAGTAACCCCAGGTTAGGAAACCCTACCCTAGCCTAATGCCGGTGCCGAGTCGACCTCATCAGGACCTACCGCATTTTTCATCTGGTTGACTTCCCCACGCTGAGGCCAATGCTCCTTTTACGAACATCTGGCAACACGAGTATAAGGATGTGGTTCCGGATCTGAAGCGAGTTCACAATCCCATGTGCTTTGAATGGCGAGTGGTCAATGTTTGGAACAACTTTCCGGAGCATATAGTGAAAGCAAACAGTTTGCAACGAAAATGTGCAGCTCGGAGAACAGAACAAAATCTGATCAGTGCAGCAAAGCAAAACAGTGGGTCCCCTGCAATCATTTCTTCAAGGCAGAGAGAAGACATAGGTTGCGAGATGTCACCATTTCGATTATTCTCTTCAGTCGCAAACACAATAGGAACAGAAACACCCAAACGACTGAAATTTGAGGCGTTCTGCGCTGAAGTTATCCGTCGCAAGAGAGCAAAAATGGGCGCAGTCTGTAGGGTTCTCTTGTTAAAGTAACCAATACTTCTTTCCTACTGATTGCTTGAAGCACATACACAATCTGTCCTCTGTTCAGTTCACATGCACGCAATTGGAAGTCCTCTCACTTAGAATGAAATACCGACTGCCGCCAAAAGCGCTAGACAAGCTCATCACACAGGCGTATCTGAATGAAGAGCTCAGTGACCTCTCGTTAAAATCGACGGAAGATGCGGGTTGTTCGAGCGAAATTTGTAGATATTGCGAACCATTTCTTGTGTACTTCGATAAGCCAGAGGTGCTGTCTGCAAACTGAACACTATACAGCGAGCAAGGAGTTAAAACAAATGGAGCACGTAATGTTTCTACGCCCGGATAAAGGATCGGGTATTGCGACAATGATCCATTCTGGGAGACAGTCGGAAGTTGCAGCTGGATAATATACCGGAAAACAGCTTGGTGGAAGAGCAAGTGGTAAGGTAACTCCAGATCCTCTCACTATCCATGATTAAAGCAATGATTTGCAATACAGGCACTTAAAACGGACTGGCAAGCAGACACTCAGAATGAGAGGCGCTCTCAAGTTACACAGGGCAGGCAAGCCGCTACGCCCGATTATGTGTATGGACAATTCGTCTTGGCATAAGGTTGCGCGGTGGCTTGAGAAACTGTTAGGTCCACTGCGTAAACTCCTCGCTATGTGTTGCCTGAAAGACTCCTTTGAACTGGTCGAGACGCTGGAACAAATGTCATTTACTGCAGAGCTCATGTACTCAATAGACGTGGACTCCCTGATTACAAGCGTGCCTTTACGTGAGACGGTCGATAATTTGCGTGATTTTATCCTGAGCCGGAATATGTCGGTGGGCCTGCCAGTGGAATATTTAGTATATTATTCTACTGTGCACCGAAAGATATGGTTTGAGGGGCCCGATTACAAACAGTTAGACGGGGTCGCTATGGACAGCCTTCTGGGACTAGTTTTAGCCGACATCTTCCTCGGCTTGATAGAAAGGCGTTGCTGCCAGCATTGGTGAAGCGAAGTTGTACGAACGGTATGTGGATGACATTTCAGTCTTCACTAACGAAGAACATTTTACTCGGCTGCTGACCATCCTGAAATCGATGCACCCTAATCTATCGGTATCCCATGAACTACACGGTTGCATGCCTTTTGGATACACACATGAGAAGAGGGGCAGGAGATAGATTGCAGCGCACTGCCCACAGCAAATCGACTTAGAGTGGACAGTACCTTCATCTTTCAAGCTTCGCCTCCGCCGCACACAAACGCGGCTTAGTGAAAACTCTCTTCTACTGGACTAGACGTATTTGCAGCCCCGAAACGTTAAAAACCGAAGCAGAAATTCTACGCAAAAACTTGAATTCTAATGGGTATCCTGAGAAGTTTATTCAGACGCACAGCAGATCTCCCAACAGGAAAACACCGGTGCACACGGCTGAGAAAAAGGATATTTATTTGTCTTTGCCGTTCAAGGGGGACTATGTGGCGAATGATATCGGACGCAACCTCCCGTCCGCACTAACGCGCACCTACGGTACCACCCGGTTGCGACTCATGCATACCACGCGAGGGCTTCTTTATAAGCGTCGGAGCATCTCGTCGCGTAGTTCGGCGTGTCAGTTGCCGTGATATTTACATAGGCGGAACTAACCGTTAGTTAGCTCAGAAGGTAGCTGAACATTTGCCAAAGTGGTTGGGACAAGTGATGACGCAACAAAACGGGACGGATCTGAGTATGAATCGGAGCTCGGCATCGTCTATCACCAAGTGCCTCACCGCAACCCGTCATCATGTGAATCCTGAGACCACATTCAGTGTTATTGCGCAACAGAAGCCGATAATGTTAGCAATTAGTGAGATGTCGCTAAGTAAGGCGCATCAATCTGGGCTAATGGCATAGAAACTCTTGAGGCAATCAATTTGCTTGCCTTGGTCTGGACTGTGACCTTTTGACTGCGGTTGCTTGTTTTTCCATGTAGATAGTCGTTTGTGTGTCTGCTCGTATTGTGTTTGCGATTGAAGAGAACAATGGAAATATTGACATACCGCAACCTGTCTTCTCAGTGCAGAAATTCAGAAGATCGTTGGATCTGCATCTCTTCAATGTTAGATTCCGAGACAGATTACCGATTGACAATGATATCCCACATTTGTGAGTCCCCATATTTTCTTAACCACCCCAAGTGAACAGTAGAAAAATGAAAAGTGTGTTGGCAGGTTACAGATGGCTTTGCTTTTCAACGTTTTTGGTTATATTTTTATGAAGTTGTACAATTTTAAACTTCTAATTATTCCCATATCACGGAATACAATTGTTGTAGCATCTTTGGAGACCTAGTCTCGGCTGATGACGTTGAGATGGTTTGCGTATTTGGCACGGGGTCGCCGGACGGTGTCATATTCCGGAGCAGTCATATATCGAGCTGATTTTGAGGTGGAACACAACGCGCTTGCAAACTGGTGAAAAGTTGATGAAGCAGTCTGAGATTGACGTAATTGATATACTTTTATCCTTACAAACGAGCGGCAGTCGCAAGGTCTTCTATAGTACAACAAATATTATCTGATCGCACATTGTCCGAAGGGGAACATTTCTTTTGGCCACATCAGCACATGGCCAGATGAGGCATGGAAGTTCGGATGAAACCTCTCGAGGTACTAGCCGCATGAAAGCAGATCGTCCAGAGGAAATTTCACGGTTGGTCATATTACTTATCTGAACTGCTGACTATAAATACATTTGTCCTTTCTGATTTTCGTATCTTAAGTAAAGAAGTGGTTTACCCTTTACAGGGCGAGGCACACCTGTGAAGCTATAATCAATTGATATAACACCCCAAAAATCCGTTGGAAACTTATTCGTTAAACATGAAAATATTATGTACAATCCGATTATGCTGTACAGAACGATGAGATCACGTGTTTGGTCTGTGTTGAACTGTCCAGAAATTTACGATTTCTTTAACTTGCTGGTTGGAATGTTGACCGAATGGTAGATATCGATATCTGCTACTAGGGGTACAGAAAACAAGGAGTCAAAGTAATAAGCAGGAACCTGGGAGGGTAGTTGGTTTACCGTTGAACAAGTAGTACTACTGTGGACAATGGTATTACAGCATTTAGTTTGATTACTTCCACTACCACTGCCGTGCTTTGAAAGATCAAGTGTCTTCGCTGCAGTTTTGACGTTTCAGCATCGAGGATAATGGTTTCGACCAGTGATTTAATCGGACCCCCTACCGAGTTGATGTAGAGAGGGGCTACTCAGTCAATTTTGATTAGTATGTTTTGAAATTGACTGAAGTTACCTGGCTGCCAGATAGCCCAGGCAAAATATCGATAGTCGTGGTAGGGATTGTTAACGCTAGTAATCCAAAGGACTTTCAAAGTCCGTGATAGGCAGCTTCGCTCAATATTCGTTCGAAACGGAATTGTATGGATCAGTATTCTCAGAGTCTTGAAGATAGTTTTATGCTATCCGTGCGCCTTCGATGATGGATTCGTTCGCTACCAATGTATCATTGAACTGAAATAGTACGGGTAGGTTGGGCACCGAAAGGACTCTTACACAGTCTCACCGAGTGCCATTCATAGGGTCTGCTTTGAGTAGGACTGTTGCAGTGATGTTACTGGCAGTTTATGGGGATAACGGAAGGACCCTGAAATTTTTTCGAACAACGGATTCTGTTATACCCTATGGTTGCGACTGCAATGATGAGAATGCTGGCGGGTTCCAGATGAAGTCTACGCAGTCGAGCCTCGCGTTGCCGATAGGAAAATATTTATTTATATGCCCAGTAACAGCATAATCAACTAGGAACACGATGCGCATGGTGCGAATAGAAAACGATAAGATTTCAATAATGAAGTGCATTGCGTTGGAAACCATGCACAGGGGGATGAAACATGCAACTCCGGCGCAAGTGTACAAGGGGTAGTTACCATTGGAAATCAGAGTACGGCAAAAATGCGACGCACCAAAGCGATCAAACGACCGGAAGAAAAGTAGTGACGACAAAACTTCAGATATTAGCTAGGTGGTGTGAAAATCTTTGGTTTGACAGCCTTTTGGTGCGATGAAAGAATAGATGAGTTGAGAATGAGTGGGGTGTGGTAACGCCCGGAAGATGACTACTTCGGGGTTCAGCGAATAAACCGGGTCACGTCACCATACATAGGTGATAAATGAAATAAGATTTCTGGATGAAATCAAAAAATACCCGTTTAAAGTACGGATGTTTCCCAGGGCGAAGGACTAACATCGTGACTGTGGCGGCCCAAAATTGTAGATAAGCCAAAGAGTGAGCTCTGCGCGGGATACAATTTTTTTAAATGAACTAATCAGTAAGAGCCAAGCATGCAGAAGGCTGAAGGAGTAAGCTGCATCTCCATTTACTTCTCACGAGTAGACAATTCTAGAACACGAGCCAATTCTTCATCCTCCTGTCTGCGACGCCGTTCCTCCCGTTCCTGTTCTAAGCGAGACTCCTCTAAAACCTTTAAGTAAGCATCATCAGCACTGGTCACAGGTATCTCCGCACCGTCAAGACTGAGGCTAGCGGCGATTGCTCTGAAGGGGCATAAATGGAGTTGACAGTACACATAAAATAACAAGACATGCATTACAATATATCGAGAAAGTTGCTTCTAGCTGAGAAAGTGCTGCGAGCGAGCCTTGTGCATCTGAGAGACGATATTAATCACCAAGCAATTGGTCCGATAAAATCCTGTACTAGAATCATATGGTAAGAGGTGGGATAGATCATTACACAAACAATCATTGAAGCATAAGGTTCCAATTTTATGGAGGCTTGCAGAAAGGAACACTTAGTAAAAATATGAGACTACTTAGAGAAATAAATTCAACTAATTAGGGGAAGCGAAAAAACACATAGTGCCTTACTGTTGCAACCAGGCTTCCTCAGGCTCCACATATTCGTCTGCTCTTGCTTCGATGATGCTTCGTTTACGCTGTGTAACAAAAATGAACAAATAAAAATACAAAAATACCAGAAAGTCCCAGAAATACCCTAAACAAAAATCAAAACGAATCGGAAAAGCGTGTGATAACCAGCATTTCCACACAATATTGATTTGGCAACCATTAAAATGAATTGCGTGGAGAAAGAAAGGAAAATAGGCCACAGGCCAATGAAGAGAAGAAGGTAACACGAATGTGGCGCAGCATAGGTGACACTTACTAAGGAGTAATCACGATGCATCAAATTTTCAGCAGATCCGTATTCAACTAGGCTGCGTTGCACAGCCATCTGGACCATCTGCTCCTCCTCGTCCAAGGCTCCATAGTGGCCAGGGGAGTTCTCCACTATATGGTCGAAGAGATAAAACAAAGTAATTCGCATAGAAATGTGAATCGGAGCGGTAGATCCAAAACATAGGGAGATGTAAAATGTCGAAAAAAAAAGTTGCGGAGTTTTTGGTCGGAAACACTCGTTGGGAGGGCAGTGGCAATTGCGAATAGAGCAGGGACCATGGCGAGATCAGCGTAACTAAGACATTGTTGCCTAACTGTAATCAGAGACAGCAAAATAGTACAATGGATGCACAAGACAGAACAGTTTGAAAAGCTTCTGTACATTTTGATCTGGCCCTCTCGGGTTCAATCTCTTGCAGACGAGAATATACACTTTTCTATCAAACATGTGTACATATGTCTCGCTACCGAAACACTACAACGACAGTAGCAATGAGAAAATAAGAGGAGAAAGAGACATAGGGTAAATCCAAAATGCCCTCAACAGAAGTTTGGGGAAAAGTACCTAAACTCTGTTAACAACAAGGTTGCAGATAAGGCGGCTTGAGCGAGACAGCTTCCTTACGATTAGCAACATATTCGGCACAATCGACCTTGCACTGTGGATAACCTAGCCCAATAGAGGCTTTAAACGAGCACGCCGGCTAGCATATGACAGATAACAAGCCGCTTTCTTTAAGGTGAATAGTCAGGCAAAGGCAGGTCGCCTGGACTGTACTATGGAAGGTGGCACGAATCGATAGAGCTCAATTCAGTGAACATCACTTTAATTCCCGGCTGCTAAGTCCATTTGCTTCCTTCGAGACACGCCATCCTAGATCCGGCAACCAACGTAAAGTGTTCATTAGTAAGCGGTGAGTGAACACAGGTAGAAAACACGCTAAAACTGGTGGCGGCGGTAACAACAGATGAACGAGGTGAAATCAGAGACGCAGACACAGTGGATGGCAGGGGTAAAAGTGAGAATACTATTATCTTCGTTTAGGAACAGGGACGACTGGAAGTGGAAAAATATGAACGCATAGGTCTCCACCATGAATTCATTTAAGGTGTACACTTGATGGGTAAAACGGCTGCTGGGAGCATGCCGCATAGTGCTACTGTTATCGTGGAAGAAATAGCTAAAGGATTTGCGCGCAAAATCATTTGTAAATAAATCAAAGGTAGTTAGCTAGGTCGGTTTTCATGGACATAAACGAGGGCTACGCCAACGGTGCGGTTTGAGTAAACACCGGGAGGCACCGGTATAAGGACAAAATTAGCAAGAGACAGACTGGTACCTAAGGGGACAGAAGCAAATATCATGCACTGGTAGAACTGTGGGAGAAATTGCTTATCGCTCCGCGCAGTGGTTGCTCTAAACATACAATGGAAAAGACTGCAAGTAGCCTCTACTTTGAGGCAAGGAGTGACGATCGGGAAATAGAACAGAAGCTGACATACCGATTACGTGGTAACCTTTACCAACGTCGAATACGCTCTCATCCACCACACATTTGAGTGCTTCGATGTGATGACCATCGGGCCCATGTTTGTGATCAGCAGCAGAGTCCATGAGGGGTTCGTTTGTAAGGTCTCCAGAACCACTATGCGAAGTCTTTGGCGCCTTGGAGGTGGGCGCTGCGTTATTCAAGGGCACCGTAGTCACTCCGTACACACTAGTCTCTTGTCCATTGATGTTGCTGAACGAAACACATGTATTCAGAACGTGATAAAGAGGAATCTCTGAAATGGGAAAAAGTCGCTGTCAGTGGACTACAAGCTGTTTTGGAAAAGGTAACAATAGCGATTAGATTAGGAGAAAAAGACAGGCAACGGCAATCGCGCAGCCGATAGGAGAGTGCAGTGGAACATCGAGAAAATGGAGCAATAAACCGCAGAAAACCAGCGTTATGCGAGATCACTTACTCAGGTATTTCATGTCAAGCAAATTAGCACCGTAACTTGTCCACAAGGGCTTACCCAATGGTTGTAGTGAGAGCACCAATCTCAAATTAGTCACTAAAGTTACCTACCAGAATCAAATAATTCTTTGCTATGTGGGCAGAGATATACAAGGCGACTTTCTGCTAAGGTCTCAAATTGAAACAACATTGGTTCTCTCGAGAGGTACAAACCATATGTGCAAGCAGTTTGATAGGTAATCACATATAAGACCAATCATTGCTGGCAAGAAAATCAGTACCCGTTTTTGCTACACAGTTGTCGATTCTAAAGTGCGCGCAGTGGATGAGCTACAGTATGGAGCGCTGCATTGCTGTCGGAATAAGAATCCGGTTTTCTTCAAAGATCAGTCCTTCCTTCATTATAGAAATGAAGACGTGTTGGTTCCTTGGCAGCTTCTTTTCATGTTCTGCCCATCCTTCCGGTACTGTTTATTCTAGAAGCTTGAAAAGCTTATCTTCTGTGCAACGTCGCAGTTGTTGTAGACATTCTACAATGAGAGCAATCAGTTTTATTGCATGAACCAAGTCGGAATCTTCATATCTTCCGGTTACACCTGAAAAGTACGCTCTTGATAGCGCGTCGGCGAGGTGCATCATAGATCACGGCTAACATATAATATGCAGATCGTACCTCTGAAGGCGAATACACATAAGGCGAAGACGAGGTGGGACAATGTGGAGCCGTTTGTTAACGACGGATACCAGTGACTTGTGATTAGTGTAGACGGTTGTCTTACGACCGAACGTATAGGCGTTGGATAGTCCTAGAGTGTAAACCAGCGCTAGTATATCTTTTTCGAGTTGGACGTAAAGACGCTCAGCCTCCATCTCTGTGCGACTGGGAAATGAATAGGCCTACTGCTTTGCGTGAGCACGGATTCGATGAGTACTGACCACTGTCACAATGAATCTCGATTGGGGGACATAGATCAAAGTAGACGACGACCGGCGCGTCTGTAATCAACTCCTTGATCCTCTTGTTCGGCGCACTAGTGTCAAGTTCCAGCTTTATGGGTCACTTTCAGAGTTAGTATCATCAGACCAGTCAATCGTGGTAAGAAATGGCTCGGGTAGCTGACCATCCCGTTCAACATTCTAACAGCGTTTTCGTTCGTGAGAGGCATGTAGTTTATGGCCAATTTCTCCTGGGTCGCGTTTCAATCCCTCTATGAAATACTACCTTGTTTTGCGTAATTCAACTTCTTCACGCTTCCGTATAAGATTTCTTTCACTGCAGTGCTGCAGATATTGGCGATGTTGAGCGCAATATTCTCGAGTGGTATCGAAAACTAACACGTCATCCGCTACATAAAACATTCCGAGTAGATCTTCTAATGCCTGCATCAGCCGTTTCTTAAAGAGCTCACTGCATACTTTCAAACTGAAGGGTAAGTGAAACCATATAAAGCGTCCAAAAGGCGTTCCAAATGTGATTAGAGATTAAATCTCCGTCAAGTTCTACATCGAAAAGGCGGTAAGATATTATCCAGTGTAGTGAAGCATTAAGTGGTTTCGGGTCGATGCACACTAAGGAAACTTGGTGTACCCAATCTGCTGACACATCAGTATTGGCTAAGACGCCCAAACGTTGCAATACTTCCAATAACCTTTCGTGCAGAACAATGGATATCTTTCCAGCTAACAAGGATGCTCGCCTAGTAAATTCATTTAGGGACAAATGAGCGCATCCATTGAGTTTACAGACAAACCGCTAAGACAAAGATCGACGTCTGTGGCAGCCTGAGACGAGTGAACAAAGTGATTATGGTTAAAAAAGACAAAACCAAGGTGCTCAATAGAATCAATACCCAGGATGGACACAACTAGGACCTCCGGCTGGTGTTCCCTTTTTCGGGTTGACAGTATTCAAGATATCGTTCTCTTTCGGCTGCAGCCTCGAACCGTTCCACAATCTGACAAGTCTGTTTCACTGCACTCAAATCCCACACAATGTGTTTCGGGTAGTTTGCTGACAGTGGCTAGTGATTCAAGCTGAAACCGAACCGGCCGACCTTAAATCAACTGTGTTAAAAAGGCATTTCTTCCATCCATGATACCCAGTGTTATTTAATGAGAGCTCCTGCGGTCTTACTGACTTTTCCTATCTACTGAATTGATCATGGCAGATGGGCAACAATGAGCAAAACAGCTTTCGTGTGACACTTGATGCAGATCCGGCGTCAAGCAAGACAGCTCTCGTTTCGCTTTGGATAACTACGACTATAAAGTTGACAACTGGGCTCCTGTCTCCCGGTTAGCTGAGATGGGGTTTAGCTAGTATTGGAACTTGCATAAAACCATATTGTTGATTTCGCTAGCAATGCTGTTCTGGTCTCGCTAAGGAGACTTCAAGGACAGGTTTCTCTGCGATTAAGCGCTCGAATGCTTATCCAGTGGCCACGTTGTCAGGGTACTATATGGGTGGATTGTGCCCCATGCTGAGGCCGATGTTGAATTCATGATGCTTCTTCACTGCAGTTGAGTTAAATCAACTTACACTTAAACTAAGTCTTTTTAAGCTGGATAAATTTTATTCCACTTTATTTGGCTTGTTCTGCCTATTTGAATAACCTTTCATTGACTTGCGCTTGTTGTGGTTATCTTTGTTAACTTTATCGCGTTTGCGGCATTTTTTTGCATAACTTGTGGACATTTTGTACTTATTGCGGATTTGTTGCCAACCAACTTCTTCATATGCTAATTTAGCGAAGTTATATCGCAGTAAGAAGATATGGGTTGCGATATGTTAACATTTCGTTTGCACTCGTTAGTCGCTACGAAATACAGACAGAACAAAACAAGCAATAAATACGGTCCACATTTAGTAACGTAGATAAGCAGATAAAATTGGTGAATGACGTAATCAGGTCCCAGGCAATCTAATTGATTGCCTCAGTTGTTTCTGGGTACAGAGCACGGGACAATTTAACCTTATCAGTAGCCCCTCGCCCACTGCCAACAAGGTCGGACCCCTGTTGCGCAATAGCACCTTGAATGAATCTATTGGGTTCACCTGGTGACGAGTCGTCATTAGGTGTTTAGTGATAGACGAGGCAGGGTTACGGTTCATTCTTTGCTCTGTTCCGCTTTGGTGTGACAGCAACTGCCTTAGCCATAATGGGAAGGGTTCCGCCACCCTTTGAGTCAGCTGGCGACCAGTCTTGCCGATGTAAATGTCACCGCGACTGCAAGTGAACTGGTAGATGATGTTGGAGACCTCTAACAGGTGACCGCCTTGGGTAAAGGCGAGATGCATTGAGGGTCACTCCACTGAGAACGCTAATACCGGTATAGGACTGCGGCAATTTTGTTACAAGTTGAGTATGCACTGCTTGTTACAGCAGGCGTCACTTACTTGCTGACGTGACTCGCCATTAAATCAAGTCACTGCATCTTCCTCTTCTGGAGGATCACCACTTCGCAAACGTCATCCAATTCGAAGAGTTCCATTGATCCCTTCATGCGATGGCGAACACAGCAAACAAACGCACGAATTCAGTCACATTTCACTCACAATGACCACTAACGCATAGACATACATTTATACAGATACGTAAATCCAGTATGTTACTGGTCAACATGCTATATTTTACATAATTATCGACCATACGAAAGTCACAATTCATTATCTCACCACTCCCTACTCGAAGCACAGAGAGTGAGCCATCCGCTTTAGGCAAGGCACCAGTTGCTTGTAGCGGTGCCTGCGAGTGCTGCTTGGTGAGTGCACGTGAAGCAGCGGCATCAACATGGGTAAGGGCGGTTTGACCCCTCTGTCTATTCTCAGTTGCTTAACACCTACGTGCGGCTTCATGTGGAAGACGCGATCCAGGTGTGGCAGCCCTGGCACAAACAAGACCTTGCAGCGCTCTAGACTCCACAGCGAAGAGCCACGAAGAAGGACAAATGGTTGTTCAAGCTTCCTTATCAACTTAGACTGAGGACCTTAAAATTATACAGTGGCCGGTACCGGCGCCCACGTGACGACTTTATTACGGCCTACCAGATTCTAAGGAACCCCGGCCACGTCTGCAGTCACCTACTACAACTGAGCCACAACACGAATTTGAGAGGCCAACCAGTTCAAGTTAATCACGCAATACAGTCGGCTAGAATGTCGATGCAACTTTTACTCTCTTCGTGTGTGTCAGCCTTGGAACGCCCTCTCAAATCACGTTGTTTCCGCCCCCCTTTACCGGCGTTTAAAAAACGCCTTGATGTTGTCCTAACCGACCTACATTACGAGATATAGCCTGTGTGTCTCGACGAAAGACATAATGCGACGAACGCTGCTCAAGCGGAATTAAGCTAAATAACTGTGGTTGGCTCTTTCTGTGCGCCTGTGTTAACACTGTGGTGAGTCCATCAAAATGATTTTCATTTTATCCCTTTGTTTACTAGTCACCGTGGTTCTCTTTTTGGGTATACTACGGGACTTGCTAAGCATCCGCTTTTGCCCATAAGATACCATTGTTCCAAATGACCAAGATGTAATAGCCGGTGCGTTATGATGAGGTTAACTCCAAACCGACGATAGGACAGGGTGTATAAGGTCAGGCGTTTGCATCGGTCTCAGTACGACATACGCCGTAAACTGGGGATGAGCCTGGTAGCCATATGCTGAAAATGTCAAGTTTTTGCTCCTATACACGTATGATTAGAGGATAGACGGATGATCCATACACGAACACCGGTCTTGTGCCGGAAGAGAAGAGGTGCGTGACAATCACTTCAGACCAAACGCAGGATCAGCGATTGAGCGCATAAAGCATGCGCAGTCCGTTTCCACATACATTGTTCGTGTTGTCTACGGATTTCAAATAGCAGCGTGAGAGTACGCCTTGATATTTCACGCAAGGTGTGGGATGATGCGGTTGGCCGGCCAGTGCGTACGTGAGCCCATCAACACCCTTCCCTAGGTTCATATATGACGCTTTGACTGAGTTGACCGACAGATAGACAAATGTAGAGCACCTGGACAGGCAGTCGAGGTCATGCTAAAGTACGTCAGTCGTCGGGAGCAACAAATATTTCGCAAGTCTTCGTCTGCAAACATGGCACAAGGCAACCGAAAGTACATTTCACCAATTAGGGTGAAGTGAAGGTTTAGTGTGCACCAAAGTAACGCATCTTTAAGCAATGTTACCGGAAAAGTTGCATAAATAGACAGTTATCGAGCCAGTTCGCATGTGAATTGCAAAGTTTGTACAGAAACCGCAAGCAACATTGTTGGAAAAAGTTTGACCCGAAGCTATACGAATGTAGACTGATTAGCAACCCGTGAACACAGGTGCGGATAATAAACCGTTTGGTTCAGAGAGCACTGGGAGATAAGGGAAAGTAAGCAGCCGGAAACAGGTGAATTTATCGAACCCTGATGCTCAGATTAAAATTCTATCAACGAATGCTTGATTTTAGATGCAACCAGTGGAATTTGCATTGGTGATGTCGCCTAGTCCGGCGGCGAAGCGTTTGAAAACAAAGCACACAGCCAGAAAAAAAGGATGAAAAAACCTCATCAACATCCAAAGTTGTGAACAGTGAACGGTTATACTAAGCAGACGGGCACATGTCCCTACCAGGTGAGTACAAAAATGCAGAAAGAATTATAATGCTAACACTACCGGGATTGAAAGACCAATAGAGGGCAAAATCGGATGCTGGCTAAATGGTTACCCTAAGCAGCTCGGGGTAGTGTGACTGGATCATCCAATACAACAGGCGCCGTTAGTGGGTAGGGCGAATCAATTTCGGGCAATTAGTGTTGCAAGATATCAGATTGGCAAGGTAGTATACCAGACAGTTGAAGGTTGAGGCTGCGCAGTGAGGAGCTGGTTAAAGAGGTGAAGACGCAAGGTCTATCGATAATCTGGGGTTCTGAATTCTTCGGCAAACGAATTGATTGGCAAGCTTGTGTCACGCATATCCATCCACTCACCTTCTGTGAATGAATGCGAAAACGATTTTTTCTATAAGAGGCATCATACTTCCATGACGCGAAGCAGTACCGGATAAACGTTGCCAAATGGACGATGGAGTTGGCCAACTATTAGTAACCATTTCAGAACGTCTACTCTGTGCTTAAATGAGACAAACAACCTCAAATTGAATGAGGATTTATTTTTCGGTAAACTTGCTAGGTCCGAGCATTGGGACTCCAGCTCTAACTGAAGAGTCCAAAACCGGTTGCAGTGGTTTGGTGATAAAAGCATCTGCATGAGAGTCGTGAATTCTCGGGTTGAATTTTACAGGACAAAACCAAGCATGGACCGTGGTGTTGAGAGCGCGTAATACTTAGCAGCGTCCAACTATTCTTCATCACTCCTTTACGAAGACTACCGATAAGTATCACAAAAAACACAGTGGACTTAATCAAATTTGAACTCCAAAAGTTTGTGAAAACGGAATAGTAGTAGGGAGGCTGGATTCGCGATGTCCCCACTGTCCTCGACAAAAAGCGCACTGAGCGCATAAGTAACCTAATTAACACCACCGATCGTTTGAATTTACCATGATAAAGGGCATGGAGTTACAAAGCAAAGCATTCGAAAATGTTGCTCGGTGCGGTGAAGAGCGCAAAGAAAAAATGGTGCTGACAGCTGAATCACCCGCGTGGACAAATGCGCAACAGCTTTGGGGAAAAAAATGCGACGGTAAACTGAATTGGCTTCCCGAAAACGAAATAGATGTGCACTGAAATGACTTTGAAGCACTTCAAGTGGCAACACTAGTACAAATGACAATCAGGTGTGAAGTGGATGATGATGATTTACATAAAAAGCGAGAGAATTCCAAAATCGACCAAGGCTACTGATGCCAACACGGAACACCATCTGTTATAAGGTAAACACAATCCTATTGATCAACTTAGATGTGCGGTAGTGAGTTAAGAATACACTACCAGACATGCAGCGAAAGTGTGGGGATAGTACAGTTGGAGAATTCAGGCTGTTTAACTTTACCAATGGCATTGTGATGTAAAAGGAGTCTGATGAAAAGACAATGTAGCCAAGTTAATGAAGAAGAAGCAAAAGTGACTATGCAAAACCAGTATACGTGAATCAGAAAGGTGGCAAAAAGATAGTCTAGATGAACACCAGGGCAGACCAGAGTAACTAACAAAAACAGTTAGAAAAGAACTTACCGATTTTTAGAGGAAAACCAGTAGGCAACTGTTTGGTTAAGAATTCTTTCAATTTGTGGAAGTAGGGATTGTATTCGGACATCAGATCAACTATAGGGATTACTTGATCCTTCAAGGATAGCGGAAAGTTCCGACAAAGCCATAAGCGTGCTTTGAAAGTTTTGACCTTGGTGGTCATAGACTTCGGACGACCAATATCCAATCCCAAATTGAATGCCTTGTCTAGATTGAAATACTGTTCGACCGTAATGTCACTTGGGTTGTAGCTGGCCGCCTCCTGAATAAAAAACCAAATGTAACAACGAAATGACAATAGGCAGTGCATATAGAAAGATAGCGAAATCAAATCAGTCGGAGAAAGATAGCTGTGATGAAACCCAAATCCGGGATAACGAGCGGATACTTTTACCGCTGCAACACCGACACTCAACCGCAAACATCGCCCAAGCGGTAGCAAATTCGTTGAAAGGGATTAAAATGCTAGCAAATACGAAATCGCTAAAATTTATAATCGGTGTAATCAAGGTAAGCGCGCGAAACATTGAAATGCATACCACGTAAAAAGTTGTACCCTTAAAGAAATGTTGAATGGAGCTGACGTGACCAGTGCACAGCATTAGGACGATGAACGATCTTCCGGAAAAGTACTCGGCCACAACGATTATCATCATCATCATCATCATCATCATCATCATCATCATCATCATCACCACCATCAACAACAACAACAACAACAACAACAACAACAACAACAACAACAACAACAACAACAACAACAACAACAACAACAACGGTACATCAGCCACTTGAGCTGATGCTTCATTGCCATACAATCATAGAGACATATGGAATAAAGAATAAGAAGAGAAAGGGAAATTACTTGAAAAACTTAATGCTCTAAACAAACATTCAGGGCCAACTCGACTAAACCTTGGGCAGACAACATACCGTCACAAACAGCTGGCTATCGTGCAAAGATAAGGCGGCATCGGCGAGACAGCTTCCTTGCGGTTTTCATTGCCACGCGTCATAATTAACCTCTACCCCAGATAACTCAGCACCAGACACAATTTAAACAGGATATCTGACTAGGAAACGGCAACACACGCGTTACTGGTGTCGGTTGCGAGCCATGTCCTGTAAAGTCTCAAGCCAAGCAAAAGGCGAGTCAAATAAACTCCAGCTCGGAAGACGACACGGAACAACGGCACCCAGTTTGGTAGTCAGCGATTACATTTCCGCTGCCAAGTCAAATTCTGCCAACCTGGAGCCTTGCGTCACCCTACACCTGGTAGACTAAACAAGGCCCTTCTATGTAAGCGGTGGCCAGGCATACGTAGTACGTGCCCGAGCCAACGCAACTTATTCAGTGCTATCTGTTGTTCTAAGGAACTAGATTGGGTATCACGGCCTAGTACTTGCCTATGCATATCATCGTTGCGGACACACTGGTGCCATCTGACACCAGCAATGCTTCACAGACAACGATAATCAAAGACAAAGAAGCGCCTAAGATCTTCAGAACGAAGGGGCAAAGTCTCACTACCATAGAGCAGAACGACCCTCACTGTGGCACTGTTTACACGGCCTTTCAGACGTAAGGAAACTCCCTTCTGTCGCCAAAGATATCGCAGGTTCAGGAAGGTAGTTCTGGCCTTTGAAAGGTGTAAACTGATGTCAGTTTCTATGCGCCCATCGTTGATGATGAGGATGCCAAGATAAGTTACCTGATCAACCACCTCGAGTTCCTCGTTAGCTAGCGTCAAGGGGTCATCAAGTGGCTGGTGGTCCTGCAGCAACACATTGCACTTTGAAGGTGCGAACTGCATACCAAATGATGGGACCATGCTAGACAAGATATTCAGGGTTGATTGTGCCGCCGCAACATCGTCGAAAAGCAAGACGATTTAGTTCACATAGTCAGAGTCAACAAACCTTCCACCAGGCAAGACCTCAACACCTACATCGTGAGATTCCGGTAAGGAGCAGTCCATGATTGAGTCCGCAACAACAGTGAACAAAAACGTCGAAACCGGACAACCGTGAGGAACGTCACTTGTGGTCGGAAGTTATACGACAGGTAACCCTAGACTCTGACGCGGTCTGTAGTGTTCAAGTATAGAGCACGTAGGATGTTCACATATTTCGTGGGAACACCTTTCCGCGCAAGTATTTCGAACAGAATGCATCAATCGACTGAATCGAACGCACTCTTGAAATCGTCGGTCTGCGTGGCGCTGCTCTAGAACCTGCAGCAGAGTGAATATATGGTCGATACAGCCACGTCCTGGGCGAAAACCGGCCTGCTCTTCCCTAATCCGAGATTCCCGTTCCGCAGTGAGGCGACGAACGAGAATCGGGGCCAGTAATATGGTCCCAACTGGAGTCAGGCTAATACCCCTGTGGTTAGAACAGTCTGTGCGACTGCCTTTCTTGTATATTGCCACTATAATCGATCCGCTCCAGTTAGCCGGAACGCTATCTTTATTCCAGATACGTTCGAACAGCAAGGTCGTTGCTTTGTAGAGGATCTCAACTCCATCCTTAAATAATACAGGTGGGAGGGAATCCAGGCTATCGGCACGAAAACGATTGAGGACTGTGATCGCGTTTCGGACCTCGGCCTCCAACGGAGGCTGTAAACTAACCGCCCATGGCTCGTCGTGCATCACCTGAGTTGGAAGTTGTCCGCGAACAGGGGGCCAGCTGAACTGATCTTGAAAGTGTTCCGCCCAACTAGCCATACGGCGCTCCTTATTGTGTATCAGTGCACCAGCGCTGTCTCACTGACGTCTGGTTTCCTGGGACCAGTGGTGCGGATTAGCTGGAGGAGCTTGCGGTAACTGCCTACTGCTTCTTCCTCCTGCCGACTGATGCCCCAGGGTTCCTTGTATGCACGTATGCTCCGCTTTTGTTCGCGCCTAATAACCCGTCTGGTCACATTGTGCTCAGAGCCAGCCAGGAGGTTTCTTCTGGATTAAAACAGGCTCATTGACCTCTCGAATATTTAGTGACTGGTGGGTGACGATTAATAATGCCACAAGTAGATGCTCCTGCGTCTTGCATGGCGACCGAGATCCTATTCCACTGAAACTCAGTCTCATTAGGACAAGGAAGGGAAAGTTCGATACTCAGTGGGTCTTGATAGGCTTGTATGACCTAGGGCTGAGACGATTTCTCAGTTGTTAATGGAGGTGCTTGGTGCGCGTCCCGGTCAAGTTCATGGAGAAACGACAGCTTACCAGGGCATGATAAGAGTCGACGCAGGTATTCCAGTACGAGCGGCAATCCAGGATGGAACCACGCCACCTGTAACTTATGGCAATGTGGTCAATTTGGGTCCACCACTGGCCAGCTACAGAAGGAAGTGGTACTTCAGCGCCCAATGTCTAAAAACAGAGCTACCAAAAAACAAGTGATGCTCCGCACACAGTTGCAGCAGACGCTCGCCATTGTCAGTCCCTTCGGAGTTAACCTCACAATTACTACCCAGCTGAGCTTCTGAAGAACTCAGACGCCCTACATGTGCGTTCATATCCCCTGCAAGTACCATAATATCTAAACTAGTAGCACTGTGTAGTAGCGCGTTCAGTTCGTCATAGAAGGTGTTCTTGGCAGCATTAGAACTGCAGTCGGTGGGAGCATAAACGGAAATCACAAGCAAACAGCGTTTTGTACTACTTCGTGAATCAACCTTAGCTGATGTCGTCAAACGGGCTGCACTTAAACGGCTGTTCATCGGGATCCAATTAATCAACGATGGCTCAGCGTTGGAGCTTAGAATGATACCTACACCAGCTTGACCCGTGAGTGCTGCATCGCGTCTCTGGATGCGCGCAACCAATAGCGAGAGGAGAAACCAGGTGCAGTTACTTCCACAACCCCATTAGGGTCATTGATCCTAGTTTCAGACACACAACAAGTTAATACCGAATGTGCCCAAGGTGCGAGTGCAGCCAGTTGACCTATTTGTGCTACGGTGCGAAAGTTGAATGCCGCCACGGGAACTGGATAGCGTGGGGCTGTTGCCGATAGGCGTCCGGTGCATGTCGCGAGAAGGTGGCTGCAGATGGTTCTACTCCAGTGGCACTTCGGTTGCTATCAATTAAGCTGGGAATTATAGAAGGAAGGTTAGTAATAGGGGTCGGGGTGGGAGTAAGAGAAACAGGGGGAAAAGAAAGAACGGAGACGCCACCAGTAGCATGTTTTCGTTTATCCACCCTACTGTATGCAGCAAATTAGGCGACGCTTGATAATCTGCGCGACGGAAGATGCAGGATGAAGTTTGTGTTTGAAAAAAAGTCATGGTTGTATGTGGACTGAGATACTGCCAGGGCATCCAGACATAGACAGTAGGACGATTAGGGTCCTCATCCAAAGTCTTTGGCTCAAAAGCCTGTCCTCAAGGCAGCGGGGTGGCAGTGATTTAGTTTTACAGAAATAGACGCCATCCCATTTCAAACCCCTAACCTGGAGGACTAGGAGACTGAGTTTGTCTGACCTCTCACCATTGACCAACCTGGTAGGAGTATCTCACAAGCGGCCCGGAGGCATCACCCAGTTTAGCTCAATGGGTCAATGAGGTGCGCAAACCGTCGCACCACGTGAAGGTCCAGTCTTTTTGCGACGCACCGATCGAGAGGGTCTTCAATGTTCGAGCAAGCGCTGGCTGTTGACCGATCTGCAGCAATGTGGGTACATTGAGGCATACCAATCTGAAGCAGGATCGAGAGCACCAAATGGAAGCAGATGAACTGGAATGGACCGCTTGGTTGAACATGAGCTTGTCGACAGTAGAGGAGTGACGCTCCGCGTTAGCATGAGTTGAAATTAGAAGATAAACGCCTAGCAAAGCATGTCGGGGGAGGGCCAAGAATAGGGGGTTGAAAACTGAGGGGATATAAGTGAAGTTGGAACGGGACGGTAAGATTGAAAAAGGGTAAGAGCGGGGAATAAGAAGACGGGAAGGCTTGAGCAGTAGCATCCAAACCCTTATCCACCCTGCTAGATGCAGCAGAGAGAACACCGTTGATTATCTTCTGCGGCGGCCAGAACATCAGAAAACTGTTTGCAGAGAGATTCACAGTATTGCGTGGGCAGGATACTGTCAGGTTGCACAGTCCTACACAGGAGAACGATTAGGGTTCTCAACCAAAGCCTGTGGTTCATAAACCGTACCGTAAGGCAGCAGGTCTGGCGTTGGACTACAAGGAGTCCGATTTAAGGAATAAGGTGCCACCCTCATTCCAACCCCCAATCTGGAGGACCAGGAGCCTG